CAACTAAAGACGAATTGTAATCATTTGATGTATCGTTGATAAAAGTAAGTCAAGTGATGGTTGGCAAAATAAATCGTAGCCACAAAAAAAACCACATAGTAAAATAATATTAACACGAATAAGAAATTTCTTCTCACGAGGGGAGACTATAGTAATGCGATCTTTGATATTTATTGAAGTTACTGAATCTAAATGAGATAAAAATCAAATGATTTCAAAATTGTTTTATAACTCAAAAAATGCAAAATGTTAATATAGCCACAGGCGGATTCGAACCTCGTGTCCTAAACGTGAAAGATACAAGTGTTACAGATTCACACCTGTTCGTTGCTTTTGTTGCATGATAAAATTAGCTATTAAAGTTAAGTCAAATTTAAAAGTTACTTTTTCGATTTAAAAAAAAAAAAACTCCAGCACAGTGGGGTCATGGCATAGTTGGATCCAGTATAGATGATATCTGACAGTGATTAAAATCACTATCATAAAAAACGCTTCGATGCAAATCTGTAGATAGTGTTTAATTTAAAAAAAAAAATTGTCAAAAAAGTAGGTCAAGTGAGAGCTGAGAAAATAAATGATAGCTACAAAAAAAAACCATATAGTAAAATAATATTAATATGAATTTCTTCTCACGAGAGGAAACTACAGTAATCCTTGATATTTATTATTGATTACTAAATCATTAAATTATTAAGTCGAAATGAGATAAAAATTAAATTTTTTTCTAAATCAAACTGAATTAAGAAAAAAATTCAGTGCCACAGGCGTGAAAGACTCAAGTATTACCGTTTCAGAAACCGTACGTTTATCGCATTCGTCACTTAATAAAAATGGAAATTTAGCTAGTTCAAATTTTAAAGTTATTTTTCTCAACTTCAAAGAAACAAAAATATTGAAATATGTCAATTAGATTGATATAATATTTATGAAAATTAGTGTAATCCCCTTATAATAAAATAAAATACAAAACCAAGAATTTTAACACAAAAATATCATATTTTTGAATACGGTAGCTATTTTCACCATGAAGACAAAATAAAGTCCAAAATTTTTTTTTTAATATTAAAGTATATTACATGAGCTTTAATTTAAGATATATATAAAAATGTCAATATTTTCGGAACAATTTCAAAAATTAAGTTGAAAAAGTTCTACTGTCTATATGCATTTTTATGTTTTGAACCTCCCCTGTATTAAGGGAAATGGTTCGATTTAAAAAAAAAGTATGTCGAATTAAAGAGGTATATAAATATTATTTTTTATAAAAAAATTGTATTGATCCATACATTTTTCAAAAAGTTATAACATTTTAAAGTTAAAAATATAAAATTGAGAATTATAACACAAAAATAGCATACGGTAGCCATTTTCACTATGAAGACAAAATAAAGTCCAAAATTTTTTTTTTCCATAATAAAGTATATTACATTAGCTTTAATTTAAGATATATATAAAAGTGTCAGTATTTTCGGAACACTTTCAAAAGTTAAGTGGAAAAAGTTAATTTTTGTGAAAAAGTTGTCATTTTAAATCCCCTTATGTGGGCTGATAAAGGGTTAAATTTATAAAAAAAATATAGCAAATGATAGGTAAAGACATCAAGTATCTATAAAAAAAAAATTTTATTGATTTGTTCATTCTTGAAAAAGTTATGGTAGTTTTAAGTAAAAAAAATTAAAAAAAATTCGAAAATTAGCGATTTTTAAATTTGTAATTTTTTTGGAGGTTTCACCCATTTTCGGGGAAGGAGGGAAATATTTTCAATTTTTGAGGGTAATGTCTTCGACTAGATACAATATGTGATCTTTTGACATATCGTTGAAAGAAATTGGTTCAATGAGAGCTGAGAAAAAGTGTTAACAGACACAAAAAAATCACATCATAAAAAAACTAATACCTTCTCAGCTTCGCATCGAAGCTAAAAAAAATTAAATAAGTTTAATTTCTTATGTCTCATGAATTTTATTCTATGTCAATTCAATTTTATATTATTCATGAAAGTCAGTATATTGCCCTTATAAGATACTTTAAAATAAAATATAAAACCCAGGATTTTAACACAAAACTAGCATATTAGCATAACTGTTGTCGGGACAAATTTTTTTTTTTTCATTTTATGGTATATAACATAACCTTTGATTTGATATATGTTTAAAGGACGCAGTATTTCCGGAACACTAGATACGATTTATGATCTTTTAACGTATTGTTGAAAGAAATCGGTCCATTGAGATCTGAGAAAAAGTGGTAACAGACATAAAAAAAAATAAATAAACACATCATGGTAAAATTAATACCTTTTCAGCTTCGCATCGAATCTAAAAATTAAAAAAATGTTGAAAATTAGCGATTTTGTAGGGGCTTATTTAAATTTCTTAAATAGGTTTACAACTCTTGTTATATATTATAACACAACTAAGGAATAATTATTTTATAAAATAATTCTTTTAATATTTATTTGCTCATCTTATTTTCGCCAGACTCGATCGCCGTACACACATGCGCGAAAATTTATATATATGCTGCATTTGATCGGCGACCAAACAGTTTGTCCTACATGACATTTATTACAACTTTCATATTGTAAAATGTGGTTGAACATTTATTGACACATAATCGCTCCATTAAAACCATAAAACTATTTAAAAACGTAAATAATTATAAAGAACTTAATATTAGGGAGGCAATAGAAATGTTTAAAAATAAAAACAATTTAATTAATTTGCCCACTGAAAAATTCATTAATAAACTTGTGTAAACTGGCAAAATGTGATAATATTACTTAGTGATTACGTCACTAGGTGATAAAGTAACTAGGGATTTATAAGGGATTTTTTTCTAGTCGGGGTGTCAGTATGTGTTTGTGATAAATAATTAAATAAATAACACGGTGGTGTTATTCCGATACGTATTCCGAAATACGTATCCTTGAATTTTCAGTATTTTTTTGTGGCTTTTGATTTTAATATTTTTTAGTTTCTAAATTAATCATATTTTTAACATAGTTTTAAATTTATTTAATGATGGTATGATAACAATATATTTATTATCGAGGCAGCGTTGTTAGCTCTGCGTTCAGCCCCCAACCTAAGGTTATGGTAGAGCTACTGCAGTGCATCGATACGTATGCACTAGGCGATGGGATCACCACTTCCCCTACGCCATTGACTGGGGTCCGCGGGTTCGTTACACCCGTTATCAACTAAGATAACCAATCGATAATAACATCTTCTTCCTCGCCTTAATCCCAACTACTTGGGGGTCGGTCATCGTTTCTTAAACTTCCACTTGACATGATCTCGCACATCATCTACGCTCACATCAGCTGTCCTCAAATCGCATTCAATAGCATCCCTCCATCTCTTTTTTGGTCTTCCTCTACCTCTTCTTCCTTCAACATTCATTTATATAACTGTTCTATAACAGCTTCTAATTCCTCTCTCCTCATAACACGACCAAACCATCTTAGTCTATTTTCTCTCACCTTATCCACGATTGACGCTATACCTATACTGCCTCTTATGTGCTCGTTCCTTATCCTATCTTCTCTAGTCACTCCATTCATCCATCTAAGCATTCTCATCTCTGCTCTACTTTCTTATCAACCGCTTAACACTCTAAACCATACATCATGGGCTCACTGCAGTCTTGTAGAATTTACCTTTCAACGTCATTGGAAATCTTTTATCACCTAAAAGACGCTTTAATCTTTTTCATTGATGTGGCATCAAGTATGACTCATAATCTTTATGCCTCTATAATTCCCACACTCCTGTATGACTCCTTTACCTTCAAATATCGGCACCACAATACTATTCCTTCATTCGTTTGGAATTTTCCCTACTAATATGATTTTATTTAGAAGTTCCTTCAACCACCTTATGCCAACACCGCCTAATATTTTCCATACTTCTATTGGCACTTCATCTGGTCCTACTGCTTTATTCTTTTTCATTAATGCCACAGCCTCCCATACCTCTTTCTCACTAATTAAATCTACCAGTCCTTCATTCCACGAGATATCCTTTAATGTCTCTTTTGGGTACTCCTCATTCAGTAATTTTTCAAAATACTCTTTCCACCTTTTTTTCACATCATCATCACTCAAGAGTACCTTATATAATGATAATCTTTAGACCTTTTCTCTCTTACTTTTGCAAGTCAATAGATTTCTTTCTCGCCTTCCTTTGTTCCTAGCCTATCATACAATTCATCCTCTTAAACTTCGCCTTACTTACTGCACACAAGGTTTCTTTGTACAAGCGTTTATACTCCATCCAATCTTCTCCCCTTTTGCTCTTCTGCCATACTTTGAATTGCTTTTTCTCACTTTCTATGATTGTTTGAACATCGTTATCCCACCACCAGTGGGGATCGATAATAACATGGGTTTATACCCGAGTAGCATTATTTTGGTTCACGGTCGGTTCAAGCGACCCACGAGTGCTGGGAGAGTTCTATGTTCAATAATGAACCGTGTAATTTTTTATAAGTTCCAGGATAGTTCAGCGTTCAATAAATAACCGAACAATTTTTAGTAAGTGCTGGGACCGTTCAATGTTCAAAATAATTGTACGGATTCATCAAAGTTCTTTCATTATAATGAAAGAATCGTTGTAACGGTTATAGCCATTCAAATAGTTTTATTCACTTATATTGTTATTAAACATATTATCCCTTGATTAGTACATTAATAAAAAAAACTTTAAAATAATAGTTATAAATTATTTTCATTGAGACTATAGCGCAAATTTAACATACGAACTTTTGGCGGAATAACCAGACGTGTCAGTAACCGTTGACCAACAGCTTTAGTTCGCGCGATTTTTATTTGTTATTTAATTTTTACTTATTTTATGTTATTTACTTTTAAATTATCAACGATCGTTTTACTCTCTTTACAAATTATGTTTTGAGACATTCGCCATTTTCACAGTGACTAGATAACTTGTCAAGACTGCTCTTTATCCCTGTTCACTCTCACATATGTATTTAACTGAAAAGTTCAATAAAATGTAAGTACATTTAATTTAAATTTAGGACTAAAATAATAAATAGTTATTTTAATTAATTTTAATAATAGCATATATTATTTTTTTAAAAGATAATCATACATTTTAGTAACTACATTTATTGTAATTGTAATAGATACAAGTGGTAAATTATATATTAAATTTTCACATTTTGTATTATGATTAATTATAATTATAATGCAAAATTATTTATTTTAATAAAGTATTATCGTTAGTTATGTTGTTATGAAGTTATTAACAGATACCTCAAGATTTTCCATGAGCTTAAAATGTTTTTAATCATATATCATTGTCGTTATCATCATATCCTAAGCCTTTATCCCAACTATTTGGGGTCAGCTCTAGCTTATTTTAGATCTTCTTATTTATTGATACATGTGATACAAATTACTTCTGTATTTTAATATTTAAAATGGTGCATTTTATATATTTCTCAAAATTGTATACATTGAAATACCATCTCTTAAAAAACTGTTGATTTTTAATGAAAATCCCTCTATTGTACTACTCAATAATTTAAATTTATCAAACATTTTAAGTTAAAAAGAATTGCATCTATTTGAATGAAAATTATATTTCAATAATTCAAATTTTAAATAAATGAAAAGTATAAAGGTTTTCACCGTTTAACAATTAACAGGGTTTTACATTAAACAAGATTTTCATCAGACTCATTTTTGTAATTATTTGTAACCTTTATACCATTAAATCAACAAGATTTTTATACAAATCAACCTATAAAAGGCACATTTTAATCTATGAGGAACAGGCTTACATGTAGCCTAAATAATTTTAAGATATAAATAAAACTATTCACAGTAGTTTCCCAAAACAGAAATCTATATACCTAAGTTGTCTAAAATACCCAATATCCAAAACACAATTATTTTATAACTTAAATAATAACCAAAATAAAATACTTCTTATGAAATATCATGTTAATTTTACTTCACTATATCAAATAGTTACAATAAATAAATGTTGATGGATATCATGCTTTTTTAATTTCCAATATTTAAAAAATATGTCTTTTTTATAAGTATAATAAATATTTTACAAAGCATAGCCATGTACTTGATCAAACATTTGAATACTGTAACACTAAAAGGTTAATTTCTGTATAGTTTATTAACTGAACTTTATGTGTTGGCGCTTAATTGTAAATTGATATAACTCAATAAACATTTTTGAACATTGAGTTCATATTAACCGGAAGTGCAATAACTAATAATAATTTATCATTTACACAAAAATATTTGAACTCCCTATATTCTTTCTTCTCCAGAAATCTGAATAAATATCTATTGACATTTATGAAATAACTTTAAAACTTTATACTCTATTGTATTAAAATATTTTTATTTAAAATAATAAAAAATAATAAATATAATATATTTACTATTATATAATAGTAAATTATAAAATTTTTTATACCCAAAGCATAGTTGTTAATTATTTTTATATAATTTATTAATTTTTTATAGGTATATTATTTTAAATAAAATTATTCTTTGGGAGCATGTTTTATTTAACTTGAAAGGTTGTTCTATTGAAGTATTCTTATCTTCCCTTCTTATTTATATCATTTGGGATACAATTACTAGAGCCTATATTAATACTGGTAAGATACCAACTATTTTAATAATGATTGATCTATAATTGTAACATTGTATATTCATAAAAATAATAATAATAATATTATTATTTTTATGAATATATATATATATATATAATTTAATTTATTATAATTGATGAGTTATTGTTTTTTTTTCTTTCCAGAAAAATGTTTTGTTGCTTAAAGTGGGTACCATTAAAAGTTTCAGTGCATATACGAGAACAGCATTTGATTTTTGTATGACAAGAGAAATGGCCGCAAATTTTAGTTTTTGTGACAACACCAAACAAGCTTTTAATAAGCTTCACATTTTTTAGGTAATTCGTGGTATGAACATTAAACTGTAATAAAAATGCAAATTGAATATGTTAATATATTGGTAGCGCCTTAGTAAATCAAACTAAGTCTGGAAGACTAATTTTGAAACTACAAAGAAAAAATAACTTTATAATTTATACTACATTTTTCATAGAAAAACTTGAATGATTTTGGGGTGTCGTGTGTACAGATCACGCTATGTTGGTTAAAATGCTGTCATTGAAGAAGCCATAAGGTTTCAAACAATATAAAGATTGTTGGTGTAAATCCCAAACAGACTTACTTCTTTTTATTACAGAGAAAAAATACTGGTTATATCATAGTATAATTAGTATTTTTATTCTTTTCTAAATAGCAGTTAAAAAATCATTGTATAAAAAGAAATGAAGATGATGCTACAACCTGTATACAGGAGTGATCCTAGTAGTAAATTTTATGGGGGTGTGAAGTGAATATTGCCGACAAAGTACTTTCATGGATACAAAATTCTACCATTTATTTTAAAAATTTCGTCTTATGATTTTAATAAACTTTGGGGGATATGACATCCCCACACTCTTCTATGAAATAGTCCCTTCTATACAACATGTTTTGCCTGTGCTCCGTCCATCTGTTTTATAAATATACTACATGTTCAATAAATAAAGAAAAACAAGCCAATTGTTACGAACAATGGGAACCCTTATCCTTAATTTTTGAATCCTTGTATGTTCTATACAAATATATTTACTAGTTATTATATGTACTAATGTTTGTTTATTTTTTATTTTTTAGATGCTATGTCTGGCTAAATCATAATACCTGAACACGAAAGAACATTTAACAAAATAATAGCTAATATTTTAAAGCATTCTGGTAATAAAGCATCACAGCAATAAAATCCTTTTTTTTTTTTATTATTATTCAATCAACATTTCATTTTTTTGTAAATGATTTTTAAAATTTATTTACTTAGTTTTTTTTTTAACAGTGAAAACAAAATATAGCATTTAGGAAACAAAATAAAAACAGTAAAAAAAAAAACATGGTAATCTTATGCCATCTTATTGAATACTACTTATATGTTTTACTTCTTTTGTTGTACTTATGGCAATGATTTTCTTTTATTCAATTTCATGGAAATTAAATTTAAATTACTAATTGTTTTTATAACTNTGGAAATTAAATTAAAATTACTAATTGTTTTTATAACCACAGTAATATTTTTTGTTATATCAACTATTGCAATTTCACAATTTACTAATACTGTACTAATATTAACTATATATTTCTTGTCTAAACTCTATAACACCTTAGTGATTAATTTATTATGATAAAATATTTTTATTGGATTTTTTTGATATATATTGTACAACAATAAATCAAACTGAGTTACAGTAAATAAATTGCTGACATTGCTAACATCATTATTTTTATTTAAAATTAATTATTGTAATTAATTTATATTAATTATTATCAAATTGTATGAATGGATTGTTTACTAATTATCATTTAATATAAAATAAACCTAAAATTCGAAGGTTAACTATTTTATTTTATATTTACATATAATATATTTTATTTTATTTTATACATTGTGTATATAGTATTACAATTTATTATTTTAAAATTATAAAATGTTTGAATATATACAAAACCTATACATTTAATTTAAAATACCGTAACTGCTAATGAACTCTTAATGAATCGTCGTAGAGCTTGCTTTTATTGAACTAATGAACGATTATTGAACTGTTATCGAGGGTTTTATAATTGAACCGAGGGACGGTCTTTTAACTCTTTCTGAACTTTTGTAGAACTCGGTTCACCCCATGTTAAAATCCGTATTCAAATCTCATTTTGAACCGTGCTGTGAACGGGTTTTGAACTGAGTTCAGCACCGTTGTTACTATATTAAATGAACCCAGTATGAACTCGAATTGCTACTCGGGTAAAATGTTAGTCGATATAGTTGTCTTGTGGAGCAAAAATTGACGCCTTCGCAGTTTTCCCGTTAATGTTATCACCTATTTTTGAAGTGTTTATTGCGTAGAGATACACACTGATTTAAAAAGAAATATTTTTATTGATAAAAATGGACTCAAAACAAATAACAGATTTTTTGAAAAAAATCCTAAGTATATGATTAATAAAAGTTATGAGCAAAGAAAAAGTCATTTTACAGTACCTTATCCATAAACATTTTTTGTGCCCCCCACTATAAATTTCTAAATACGCCAATGATTATATATATATATAATAATCTATATAGATATAAAATTAGATTAAAAATCTAAAATTAGGTTTTCCTATCTCATATTTTTTATTAATTTTCTAATATGTATAACCTCAAATGTTTTTTAACGATTGTTATTTATATCACAAAATGGTACATTAGTGTACAAGATATTATTATATTCGATTAATATTAAATTTAATTATAAAACTAAATCTATAAAAATAAATTAAATTTGTGTATAAATTTTTGATGTCTACGTTTTGGGGAAGGGCCAAAAAATGATTTGATTGAAAGTTATTTTAATTTACCTGTATATAGGAGTTGGCAATAGGTGGCTCATACCACATTAGAAAATAAATGAAATGCCAATAATATTTTATATATGTTATTTTTCAACTTATAACTAATAATAATGTATATAATATAAAATTTATTTTATATTACATATATTGATTAAAATTTCATTTGTTAGTCCTAATTTATTTGAAACTAATAATTAGCCTATTCAAAAATTAATTGTTGATTCCTATAATAGATGAAGAACAAATCTCAAATGCAAAGAGTTTAAAAATTTAAAATTAATCATTATTGGGTAAATATTAACATGAGTAACATAATAATAACAATAAATCATTGAATACTTCAGCTAACACTAAGATAAATGAATTAAAGAAATTATAACTATTTATATTAGCATTAAAAAAAACTATTAAAATCTAATAAGGTGTAAAAAATTCTACAATGTTTATTGATTTTGGATTTAAACTAAAGCTTATATTAAATTATTGTGTGCTAGAATTAAAAAAATAAAACAAAGTAATAAGGAGCAAAAAATAAAAAATAAAAAATGAAATATTTTAATTAAAAATTACTATATTAAATTTTTAAAAATAATAGCTGTCAACATTAAAAATCTAACTCAAGAAAATTATAAAATAAATTAATTATATACACCTCAAATTAAATTACATTTTTTTATATTAACTTTGAAAAAAATTTTTTATAATTTTATTAAAAGTTTTACTGAGTAAAATATAATAATACATTTTTTAGAACTCATATTTGGCTTAACCAAATTTCGAACTATAAATAAAATATAAAAGAACATTTATTACAAAAATTAGTAATGAATGATTATGTCAGTGTTTTATTACTAATTTGATTTTATAAAAATATTATTAATACTTTTTAATCAGTCATGAAAAACTCACAATCTTAAATGTATAAATATTATTTAAAATAATGTTAATGAATTTAAAGTTTATTAAATAAATGTAAAATATTATACAAGTTTATTACATAATACTGTGGCTAAGTCAGGCTTATAAGTGTTAATGAATAATATTTAAATACAAAAGAAAATGTAATTCTTGCATAGGTAATATTAACAATCTTCTCTTTGGTGAAATTATATAAATTAAAATATCAAAAAAATATTTGACACCGTTGGTCTAAAAAAATATATTAACAAATAATAATATCAGACATTACTTATATCTATGTATTATTTATAAACTTGCAAATTAATTATCATTGAATAAATTTATCAAGACCTTGTTAATAATTTATAACGAAATTAAAAGAACTCTATATTACAGGCAAGTATTAAAATACATTTAAAAATGCATAATATTTTTGAAGTTAAAATAGAAAAACTAAAATAATTTGTAAAATAATACATGTAGTTTTAATTGAATAAAAATAATCATGGTAATGTACAAAAATAAATATAATATAATGTTATGAAATGTCAAACAATTTTTTTATTTACACAACATTTAGAAAAAAATGATTTTTACATTTTATTTTTCAATAATGGATATAGTAAATCTATGACTTCTTCAAAACATACATTTTGATGTATATAAATACTTTCTTAATTTGCTACAGACAATTAATAGTATATTTTTGTATTATTTGGCACTTACATTTATTAATTCATTATCAGTTAGAAAAAAGTAGATTGTTCATTAAATTATTGAAACTAAGTCATATTTCTAATTGATATTATTCAGAATTTTTTTTAAAAAAGTCCACAATCTTTTAAGTTATTTTTAATAATAACATCAGTAACTGCATCAAAAACAAATTGTATATTATTAGTATCTGTGGCACAAGTGAAATGAGTATAAATCTCTTTTTGATCCTTTCTTTTGTTTAAACTTTCAAATTTCATTTGGATATAAGCTGCTGCTTCTTCATAATTATTAGAACCTAAAAATAGGTAGTTAAAATTGTTAAAACTTGAACATTTCCAAAAACACTGGAAAAAACTTGCCTGTATATTCAGGGAAACATGAACTTAGGGGACTTCTTTGTATTTTTTCCTCAAAAAGATCCTTCTTGTTTAAAAATAGTATTATTGATGTATCAACAAACCATTTACTATTACATATTGAATCAAATAATTTCATTGATTCAATCATTCTATTCATTTCTTCATCTTCTGCAAGAACTAAGTCATAACCTATAAAATACAGTCATAATAAAATTTACTTTATTACCTAATACACAACAAATGATAGAAATTTAATTCTTACCCGAAAGTGCAACACAAAAAATTATAGCAGTAACACCTTCAAAACAGTGTATCCACTTCTTCCTTTCTGAACGTTGTCCCCCAACATCAAACATTCTATTAAAATAATTAATAATATTTAGTATATATTATAGAAAATGAGTGTCTTATTATTTATTATATAATGACATTATTATATAATAATTTTTTTTTCATCTCCTAAGAGATAAAAGGGTGGGTACAGTTTGTACTATTATATGTGTACTGTCTATGCTACATACCCACTTTAAGTGTTAATACGTTATTACTAATGAACAATCTACAGAAAAATAATTTTTTTTTTCTAATTAACAAGTTAAAACTAATGGTTCTTATTTTTATTGATTTTTAAGCCTATAAATGACCTCCCCCGAGTTTTCTTAACATTGATGAATAGTTAGCCTGATACCAATGAGAGGGATGGTAACTCCAAATACCACACTAATTTCTCGTTCAGCAAATGAAGCTACCTGTAACCAAACCAAAGGCTGTGCACATGAAGCACTATTGTGTTACCGACTCAATTACATCATCCCTCTTGTTTTTATTTAGAAAATTAAAATTAAAGTTTTTTATCCTTTATAATTTTTAAGAAAATTAGAGTCTTAACTTTAATTAATCACCCTTTAAATACATAGTTCTACAAATAATAATAATACAAATCAACACAATATAAATAAACAATGTAATTCTATATTTAAAATTTATAAAAAAATTACTTGAAATTTAATCCTTTAAAATTAAAATTTGTTTCAATAATTCCAGTAGTTTTAACTCTCGTTCTTAAAACATCTTGCTGTGTTGGTACATAATTAGGTAATGAAATTCTATCTAAAGCATTTAAGTAATATGCAGCAGAATCATTCAATTGATACTCTCTTGAACGTAAAAAACATTCTTGAACTCCACTATCTGCCCAAAGCCTTTTCATTAATTTTACAAGTTCTGGAGTCAATTCTCCTTCTGCTGTTGCACTTGCTAATGAAAAGAATTGACGAGCATTGTCCTGTAATTATATTACAATTTTTCATTATAACAAATGACTTTATTACCAAAAAATTTTATTTATAAATTTATCAACACAATTAGCCATTTTATAAAGTAGATTTTAAGAAAAAAATTGTTAAAAATAAGTCTTATTAATATTAAGTAGTACATTTTCTGTAGTATTTTAAGGTTTGTGATAATTTTAATTTCATGTGCTTTACAGTATTAAAAATTTATCAAAATTAGAAAAATATAAAAGTAAAGTATATTCTCACAAACCTGTTCTAATGTGAAATAAGCTTTACCTTTATACTTTTTTAATTTAGATAGGACAACTTTAAAACCGTAAAATAAACATAAAAATATTCAAATTTGTAAAAAATTGAACTAAAGAACATTTAAAGATGATTTTTCTATCAAATTTTTTCTTAAAATCTAGACTAAAAAATGGTATTCTTAATATTTGTTTTACATTCTTCTCAAATTAAAAAAATATAAACATGATGATAATTTTATAGTTCTAAAGTATAATAGTGGTTATTTAGAAAAAAAAAAATAACACAATAGATTTAGTAGATCAATAGTTATTAGAAAAGTTGTAAAACACTGTGACCCCTTTTATATTTACACATAAAAATCAACACTTTGTTAATTTTATTTAAGACATTAACATGATTAGATTTTTTAAAAAGTCCATTTAAATCTTTATATATTTTAATATATCAAAATTATTCTAGTATATAATAAATACTAGTTATATTGCACTCCCTCTTTCAACATCAAGATAGTTTTACCATATCTTACTATTCATCTTAAATTTTTGTACAATGACACAATATCATGTTTTCTTCAGCCGCATATCATGTTATCAATCTATATGAAAATGTATTAGGATCTGAATCATAAGTGCATGGTGGCCTAGTAGTAAGGTATGTCTCTACAATTCCTTGAATAGTGGGTTCCCGTTTCATGCAACTTATTTTTCACACAATTTCCGGGACACTAAGACCGGCCATCAATCACCCGTGGCCATTTTAACAACTAATTTTTTATTTTTTAAGTTAAACCTTAATTTTGTGATAATTTTTATATATTTGTTCTGTTTTATTTAATTAATTAAGTTTTTAGTGAATTTTAAATTAGAGAATGTGGGAGATTGTGTCAAGTGGAAGTTTAAGATAAGGGTGGCCAACCCCAAGTAGTTGGCATTAAGGCGAGGAAGAAGAAGAAGTGAATTTAAAATGTAACTAAATGATGGCCTAGTGCTAAAATTAGTAGTTACCATTTTTAATTTTATAATACTGTAAACACCACTAAATCTCACTTAAAAATGAAATTGTTCAATATACATTCTATTTAATAAATGTAAAATTACTAACTGTTTTGCTCGGATCTGAAAAGTCAATTCTCAAAATTCCCATAGCTCTTATAATTGCCATTAAACTTTGAATAGTATTGCTAAACACAACTGGTCTATATTGTTCACATTCTTCTTTTGAATATCCAGTTTCATGAATAATTTTCATTTGCTTCACAATTGTACTTTTACCTGATTCACCGGCTCCTAACAAAAAAAAAATATATACATATAAGCATCTGGGACAGGTGATTAGTCTGACGCTGAAGAGAGGCATGACAACTCTAATCAACAAACTGATTTCTAATTTAGGAAATAAAGCCACTTCTGATTGAGCTTAAAACTGATACAATATTCATCAAGAATTGCTATGTTACCAACTCAGCCACATTATCCCTCTAACCATCAATTAAAGTATCATAATATTTTTGGTTTCTGTGGTTTTTGAACATGTATTAAAAAAAGTTTAATATACATGACAACCTTATTAGATATAAGAAAAATTGTCAAAAACAGAAATAAGTTTAGTTCCTAGCCCTGGTTATCTTATATTTTTAATGGACTGTCTAATAAAATCTTATGCATCGGAAAATGAATTACTTATCCTCTAGTACTACTTAAGTACCATGTTTTATATTTTATCATGTGTGAACAAAAATCTAGTGTATCCAATATATGGCATCACATTAAAATATACAATAAAACAATGATTTTTAATAAAAAAAATTTTTTTTTTTTTTTAATATTTAGTTTTATTTTTAATTTAGTCACTAAAGCTTAAAATAATGATAACATAATCAAACTTATACAAAATTTCATATAAAGAAATTCTATTGCATAAAATATTAATAAATTATGAAAACTATTACTATCAGTTACTGTGAAATATTTAAATTCTTGACTATATTAAATACATCCTTTAGTTATATATAAGTCATAATAAAGTTCTAGATCTATTTACATTTAATTTGTCAGAACGCTCTCAAGAAGTAAAAGTGCATAAAAACCTAATAGGTTTATTGTAAATATAAATTGTTTAAGAACCTGGCTATGGTTTAGTCGATAGACAGTTATAGTATTGATATTTGGAGAAATGCTTCTAATGGTATAATAAAATTTTTAAGTTACTATCAGTTTAATTTTTAGATATATTTTAAATGAACATTATCAGTTTATTTATTTAAAATAAATGACTAGAATTTTTTTGTTTTAAATTATATTATATAGATTTTATTATTATTTGTATTATTGATATATCAATTTCTACACCCTATTACAAACTATACATGTATATATATATTAGGATGGTCCTTATTTTTCAACTTCATAAATTCAGAGTTATANTATATGGCATCACATTAAAATATACAATAAAACAATGATTTTTAATAAAAAAATTTTTTTTTTTTTTTTTAATATTTAGTTTTATTTTTAATTTAGTCACTAAAGCTTAAAATAATGATAACATAATCAAACTTATACAAAATTTCATATAAAGAAATTCTATTGCATAAAATATTAATAAATTATGAAAACTATTACTATCAGTTACTGTGAAATATAAAGAACAATTTTTATAGAACTCAATGTGAACAAAAAATAAAGTAATTTATTATTTTTTTGTAAAAATAATATTTTTTCGTAAAAATAAGAAAAATCAGTTTCAATTAATTTTTTTAAAAAAATTACATAGTTTTCAGTTATACTTTTCCAGTGTGTTAAATTTTAATTGTACGCAGAAATTGTACAGAAGTAATATTAATCACCATGATATCTTCTATAAAAAAGGTTATTTGAGTTTTTTTTCGAATTATGAATCCTTTCCAAATAAAAATTTAAAACAACTACGAAAACGTGTTTTTTTTTTTAATTTTTTTTGCATATATGTTTGTTTTTTTGTTCATAAATTAACAAATTTTCTTAGTTATATTAAATAAAAAATAAACAAGAAACACAAGTAAATGCACTACAAGATAAGTGTTGTTTTGTAGTTGAATGTTATATTAAAATGTGGTTTTCAGCTGCGAATATTATAACAGCTCCTGTAATGATTTAATGTTATTAAAAAAGTTATTAAATTACAGTAATAATAAACTAGGAGAAGTAGCTATAAAAAAATTTATGATATTTAAATGATGAGTGTGCTGTGTTTTCTTTATTTGACGATAGACTTGATATTAATATTAAACAGCGAATAGCAAAAAAAATATTAAACTTAAAAAATAAAAGGGTGTACACTCAAAAAAAGAAAATCTACTCCATTTTTGAAGAACTTCAACCCCTTTGAGGCACGTGAAGGGGTTGACTTATTGTAATTAAATTTTACCAGTTTCATTTTTTCAGTGAACCTAACGAAATTTTGAGCCCGTGACTCTGAATTTCTTAAAAAAAAAATTTTCTTCTATAACCAAGGACCACCCTAATATAAATATATTTATATATACAAACTAATATTATAATTATGATATTTATACATCTGTAATGTTTCTCAAATAACAATAAAGATATTATAAGTGAATCTAAAGTAAGGAATATTTAAAGAACTTGGCGATTTTCAACTTTATTATAAGAATTAGCGTAATCAAATGTATTTATAAAGTTATAACAATTTAATATTTGTTGTGTAACGTGATGGATAGTAGTTTAGATTCCATTAAGCATTGAAATTATGCTACACTTACCACGTTAGTTGTCAGATGAGTTACAACATATTCATTTTAATAATAGCAAATAAAATAATTTCTTTTATGGAAGACAAAAGTAAAATCACTTTACTATTACTTCCCCAGGGTACACTAATCCAATTAAGAATTAGTTGTTTTTAATAAACCTAAGTCGAAAAAAAAAATTATAAAATTTTTTATAATACATAAAAATAAACATCATTAAAAATAAGAGTATTAATTTATAGAACTAGTAAAACTTAATATTAGAGCAATAATTTATTACTAACTTAGTAATAGTATACCTGTGTAAAGAGACATGTAATAAATTAAAACACAAGATTTTAAAAAACAAAATTATAGCCGCAATTTTAACAAAATATTTGGGGATTTAAATCAATTACTCCTCTTCTTAACATTTTTTTTTATAAATTATTGACATTCATTTTCATAATTTTTTTTTCTTGGAGGGCTGTCACAGAATTAGAGAAGTTAGTTCCCTACCAGATTGAGTCTATGATTAAAACAGTAATGCTGTTAGTTAGAAAATCTCGAAAAAATGTATATCTTACAAAATAAGCCAATGTTTATTAAGATAGAATAATATTACATTAGAAAGTAATATGATATATTTACCAAGCAATAATAGTTTCACTTCTCTTGCTGCTTTTTCACCATCGGCACGAAGAGTTTTATCAATTTTTTTTGAACGCTCTACTGCTTCCTTTTCGCCAGAACTTATTGTGCACCCCATAATGAATTTGTGTACTTATAGAGTAAACACACCAATAACAGAAAAAACAACTAATAAGAACTAAATTTTAAGACGTTACAGTTACAGTAAAAAGAATGTTAAATCTGAATATTTATTAACAATATACTAAAATATCATTAAAAAAAAAGTAATAATAAAAACGGTTAATATTAATTTCATCCAAAAATTCATTCACTATACTTAAATACGGATAAAAATTGTACCGCCTCTCCAATCACACATTTTTGTAACAGTCGCCGTGATGTAAACAGTTGTTATCATTTATTGAAGAATGCAGGGCGGTTATGGTTTGCTTCGCACTCTAGTGGACATTTAAATTAATAATGTAAAGAGTAGGCATGGGCTAAATAATATAAACATCGATACTATCGATATTTGATTTCTTTCTATATTGTATTGTATTGTATTGTATCTAATTATAATCAACAATAAATTAAAATTATTTGATATATCAAGTTAAAATTGTAAAATCCACATCTTTATAAAAGCATAATTTATATTAAAACTGAACATTTCTGAGTTAAAATATATATTTAACATTTTACAACATACTGCAATCTTGTAATGTTAAAGTACAGTCAATTAGTAAATAAAATTATTTAAAAGTATAACACAGCAACAAGTGATAACAGAAGTAATCTGTTGTTAAATATACATTTGATATAATCCTTGATATTAGCCCTTGAAAGAAAGGCATTAAAGATAAATAGAAGTAAAATGGAATAAATAGATTGGATGTAATTGGGGGTGTATGAGGACTGCTGGTGTGTATATTGATAATGTGAGAAATCATGTTCACTGGAGAGTTAGAATATTGGTGACCGACCACAAGAGTGAGGATATAGCAAAAGAGTAAAAGAAACTTAAATTTTCATTTGATTTATGGTGTAATTAGAAATATTTTGGAAGAAATAAATTATTATTATTAATAAAAGCGAAAATTTCTGTAAAACAAAAGTGGCGGTCAATTTATACATGATAAGTTATTGAGCGTAACTAATATAAAAAAATTATTATTCCTAAAAGTCCTAAGATTTTAAGTTTTGGTTATTATTTATATGTAGTTAAATTCAACGTGGTACAAAAACAAATATTTGAATTAGGCTTTATAAAAAGAAATCCACTTAATTTAATATGAAAATATCAATATAATCAAACAGTGATGTTTTTCGCAAACCTAATAAAGAGTAATAAGAATAATGGAAAACTTATATAAAACACGTTGTATTGTATAAAAAATAGTTAACATTTTCAAGGACGTAATCTCGTCATTTTTACTTAAAATTTTACTTCATAACCTATCCATAAAATGACTATTCTTAAATTTAAAAAAAATTTCAATAAGAAAACTCAGCACAATTGGGATGTGGAATAGTTGGGCCAGTATAGATTTAATGAAAGTTCATTATATACCAATGTATTTATTCGGTAAATTTTTTTTATAAAGTATTTCATTAAGTCATTTAATGTTTATATATGTTTGTCATAGAAGTAACAAAATATACTACTTTATAACTTTTTTAATTTCTTAATATAAAAATACAATACAAAATTATTGAATATCAATTCCATTCTACAATTAGTTGTTATAATAAATATTTATTCATATATTATACTTTTGAATCTAAGAACTACTAATCAGGGTATAATTAAATAAATAGGAATTGATGATGGTTTTGGAATAATCTACTAATTTCTTAAAATTAAACATTATGTAAAGATTTGCATCGAAGCGTTCCTTATGATAGTGATTTTAATTACTGTCAGATATCATCTATACTTGTCCCAACTATCTCACGTCCATACTGTGCCGCGACCCCATTATACTACTGTTTTTTTCGTATTATTTAATAATATTAGGAAACGAATGTGATTAATTAATAATAATAAAACCCAAACACAGCACAGTGCGGTCGAGGCACAGTGAGGACGTAGCATAGTTGGGTCAATTATAAAATAAGAATTAATCAAACACAACTCAACCAAATCAAAGCCAACTAGCTGGAAAAATTTGATTTATATTTTGATGAATTAAAATTTGAAGTTTTTAAATTCATAGTCATGCATAATTAAAAATTATTTGTTTTTTAAACAGAACTAAAATGTTGTTGTCACATATACAGAAAAAAAACCAGCACAGTGGGGTCATGGCACAGTGGTGACGTGGCATAGTTGGGTCAAGTATAATGATATCTGACAGTGATTAAAATCACTATCATAAGAAACGCTTCGATGCAAATATATAGATAGTGTTTAGTATTAAAATTTTTAAGAAAAATCATGTTTTTTAATTAACTTTGATGTCCGTTTTCATCATGAAAACAAAATAAAGTTAAAATTTTTCATAATAAAGTATATAACATAAACTATGATTAAATATACATAAGTGTTAATTAGTTTCGAAAATTAAGTTGAAAAAGTTTTTTTGTTTATGCATTTTTAAGTTTTGAATCCTCAGTATAAATGGTCCGATTTAAAAAAAAAGTAACTCGCCTTAAAGAAGTAAATAATTAGTACTTAATGTTTAACATTGTATGTTTAATTTAAGGTATATATAAAAGTGTCAGTATTTCCGGAACACTTTCAAAAGTTAAGTTGAAAAAGTTATTTTTGTATGAAAAAGTTGTTATTTTGAATCCCCCCTTTGTGCATGTCAGATTAATAAAAAAAATACATCAAATGATAGATAAAGACATTGTGCATCTATAAAATTATATTGAATTGATTATTTTTGAAAAAATTATGGCAGTTTTAAGTAAAAATAATGGAGAAAATGTCAAAAATTAGCGATTTTTAAATATATAATTTTTTTGTAGATTTCCCTCATTCCTCGTAAATGACGGAAATTTTTTTTAATTTTTGAGGCTTATGTCTTCGACTAGATACGACTTGTGATATTTTGACATATTGTTCATCAAATTCGATCCAGCGAGTTGAAAGAAATCGGTTTGGTGAGAGCTGAGAAAAAGTAATGATAGACACAAAAAAAACACATCATAGTAAAATTCATATCTTTTCAGCTTCGCATCGAAGCTAAAATGTGTTGTGTAATTATAAAGAGAAGAACTATATTATATCATAGTATAGTTTCTCCATTTTATAACAAGAGGTATATGTGGAAGAGTTTACAATCATTTACAAAGTTTATACAAGCGCTGTCACAGCAAAACCGAACCGATTTGTAATTACAATGGCGGTGGGTCGCTGTAACTGGTAGTGGTGGCTGACGGCGTGACCATGCCACCAATATGAAACATAACGCCATCTCTGGAGCATTTTATGCAGATCGTTTTTACTTCATCGTCCTCTTAGTAACCGTTTTATGTTTTGTAAAATAATTTTTTATTATGTTAAATATCATGCTCACTTTATATTTTAATAAACTTGGAATAAATGAATTATTTTTAATACTCACTATTCATCATTGGTATTGAAAAGTCGGTCATATTTGGTAAAACAATAATTTTTTCAAATTCTTTAATTAATACATTATGTAATAACTTAGTTAAAAAATTAATTAATGGTACATTTGTATCATTAACTTTTGGCATTGCTTCAAATGTTATTTGAGGACATCCTTTAAAAGAAATCCAAACGCGGTCAGTAGGTGGAGGTGGCATGTTGACTACAAGTGTTCCTACCAATTGCTTAATTACTATAACTAATCTGAACTCTTTTTTGGCCACATTTTCTAAAATTTGTTTCACATAGTTCAATTCAAAAATACTAGATGACAAAATATATTTTATAAATTTTTCCATTCGAGTTTCTTGGTGAGGAAGTGATTCTTGAGGTATTTGTTCTTCAGCAATTATTTCACGTGTAAAATGTTCATATACACTATTCTGACTTTTGTTTGAATTTTTGCTTTCATTATCTTCTTCCTGACGAAAATTAAAGTTAATATTATTAGTTTCTTCTTTTATTTGTAGTGCATCTTTTTTTTGTAATTTCATTATGTCTATTTTAGTGTCAACGATAACTTGAAAAGTACCATTATAAACAATGCCTAATTCAAACCATAAGCCACGATGATTCATCCATGGTTTTGAAGCAAAACGAATAGTCGGGATTTCTCCCTTGCCAAAACATAAACTCCGTATAACTATAATTTCCATTACTTTAGGCAATCTTAATGCATTTAATTTTTTTTGAAATTTATCAGCAAGTATTTCGAGCGTTTTAGGATTTTTTAAGTAATCAAAACATACACGACCAAGAACCATATTCAACCATAAAAATCCTTGCCCTTTGGACATATTACTTAAAAGTTTATCTTCATTTTGTATTAGCGGCACTACTGAAAGTTCATACGCATTATACATGTAAACAAAGTATGCTTGTAGAAGTTTAAAACGTGATTCAATCTTTCTCTTTCTTAAGATTTCATTAGATGAACTATACACGGCTGCGAGGTTAAAACGATGAAACCAAAGTTCTTTTTCTGGTTCATTTCTTGCAAATATATATAATTTATCTCTATCTGTTTTCCATTTGCTATCTATTAAGTTTTCGTCTTCAAAATTGATGTTTTGATCTTGATTTTTAGACCAACTTGGTTCTGAATCATCAAATTTTAACTCATTTTTGAAATCTGATTGAAAAACAGTTTTTGTGTCATTTGAGTTACTCTCACTATAAAAATTTCCTTCCTTAAAACAATAGTAATCCTTAAACTCTATAATTTCATCTTCAAACATTTTTTTATAGATATTTTCGGCTTGTTCTGAAATAGTAATTAGATCTTTATAAAACCATTTGTCTTCTGTATCTATAATAAAACGTTTAGATTTCGAAGGTCTTCGAATACCTATTAATGAATCTGTTTTTATCTCTATGCATATCGGAAATTTTTTGTTCCATTTTCTTTTATTGGTCAAATTTTGAGGTAGTAACACGATGCTGCAGTCTGTCAAATCATACATACATTCTTTTAAAAATATTAATTTTGGTTTTTTTTCATTGTAAAGTGACCTTTTAGGAATTTTATAATATGGATATGACATTATTAAAATGGGCCCTTTGAGCTTTAAGTATACTGATGTTGTTAACGATAATCTATAAGTATCAGGATGATATGTATTAAAAAACTGATTTATCCACCCATCATATAAAATTAAACAAGGATTCACGTGATATAATGTCTTCATTGCTTGTTGTATAGTAGGTTCATTATTTAATGTACTATCTGTATTTTGTAAAAAGTGATAATTTTTATAATCTTCTATTGTAAATAACTCTAAATTATGTCGGTATTTAAAGACAAATATACCACCAATTACAAATGTATGAATATAAAATGGTATATATTTGTAACTTATGTAACATCCGGTTGCTCCAACTATAGTATACATAATCAATTTTAATTTGTATCTTGTTTTAGAAGATTCGGCTTTTATATCATAACAACAATTAGATAAAGGTTCCGATAAACTTTTATCGATAAAATCATCATTGTTAGTATAAATATCGTTATTCTTTATTGCATTTTCTATAACATTTGTACGCCTACGATAAATACTGAACCAATGATTATTTTCAATGTTGGATTTTAGTTGTTCAGAATCGCTATCGCTGTTATCATCTTCTTCTAGAAATTCTGATTTGGAATCATCATATTGACTAGAATCTTCATAAACATTCATGAAATAACTTGTTTTATAAAAAAAATGTTAGAAAAGATGAAAAATTTGGAAATAATACATAAAAATTACCAAATTAGGAACATAATAATTATTATTATTATTATATTTTATTCGAAAATTTTCAAATTACTATAATTTAGTTATTTTATTTTCCAAGGTAATAATTAAATATATTTATATTAAATTAAATTTTATATTCTATTTTTTCACCGCATAAATAAACAGTGTTAAATTCAAAAATGTTTTCTGGATGAGAGGCCTTTAAACATTGGTGCTACCCAACAATTTTATTTTACTTATAATTACACAAAATTACTTGCTATTAAAAAAACAAAGCACAGTGGGGACGTGGCATAGTTGGGACAAGTATAGATTTAATCTGACAGTGATTAAAATCACTATCATAAGAAACGCTTCGATGCAAATCAGTAGATAGTGTTTAATTTTAAAAAATTGGTGGATTATTACAAAAGCTACATGATCTGCTATTTCCTTATTTATATCCTGATTAGTAATTACTAGATTCAAAAATATAACATATAATTCTTTAATATGTTAAAAGTAATTACTTTTAATCTAATTTTTATTGCCCTATAATGTAAAAGTTTATAATAAAAAAAAAAAAAATGAATTTATTAACATAACTTTTAGCCCAACTTGCAAGTATTAAATTGACATAATAAAATAGAAAAAAATCTTATTGTTAAGATTAATATGCTCTCAGAAAATTTTATAATTACTATTTACAGTAAAATTATTAGTAAAGCTCGATTTTTTTGCATTTTTATCGTAACAGATCACTTAAATAGAAATTAACTTTTGGTGCTTAAAATGATTCTACAACTGAAATATGCAGAACTGAATTTTAATGATTTACTTTAACTAAAGAAACCATTGAAAAAAAATTTGTTAAAAAGATCTACTTAATTGAGCGAATTATAAATTTTGATTATAATTGTAAAAATCAAATGTTATATTCAGGTGAAACTAAAAATATTTTTTTTTAGATTTGTGATTTATATAGCAACATGTTACCAAAAAATTTGAAACAAAAACAGTTGTATAATATTCCAAAAATTTGGAATGTTATAAACTATTAGTAACACATACAAATAGAGTTAAAAAATGATTAAATTACAAAGTAAAATTATTTACTTTTGCAGTTGAATACTTTTATCATATCAAATTTAATTCGACAACAAATACATTAAAAATATTAGAACTGAATTATTTTAATTGTTTGTATAGATAAAGCTGATTAACGTACTTTTTATTTGATTAAGGTTTTTTTTTTTAATTTTTGAGGGTAATATCTTCAACTAAATACGAAGATTAATCATTTGACATATTGTTGAAAAAAATAGGTTAATTGAGGGTTGGAAAAATAAATCGCAGCCACAAAAAGAAACACATTAATAAAACATTTCTTCTCATGAGGGGAGATTACAGTGATGGGATCCTAGATATTTATTGAAGTTAATGAATCTAAATGAGATAAATTTAAATGATTTGAAAATTTTTCTATTTAAAAAAAAATGCAAAATATTAAAAGCCACAGGCGGATTTGAACCATGTTACCTAAGCGTTAAAGATTCATGAGTTATCGATTCGGCAACTGTCCGTCGCTCTCGTAAAGTGATAAAATTGACAATTTAAGCTGATTCAAATTTTAAAGTTACTTTTCAACTTTAAAAAAGTCAAAAAATTTAAATAAGTTTAACTTCTTATATCTTATGAACTTTATTCTAAATAATATTATAAGTTTTAATGTAATAAAATTAAATAAAAGTGTCAATATTTTCGGAATTTTTTTTCAAAAATTACATTGAAAAAGCTTAATTTGTGTGGAAAAATTGTTTTTTTGAATTCTTCCTGCGGGCAGGTTTAGTGTCAGATTTTCAAAAAAATTATATCAAATGGAAGAAAAATATCTAAGGTTTCAATATAAAAAAATTATTTTAATTTGTTCATTTTTCAAAAAGTTATGGTAGTTTTAAGTATTAAAATATTTCATGTTAAATGGTGATTTTTACATAAAAATTACATTTTTCGTTTAAATCAACGGGCATTAGCACACAGAAGAAAAAGTGTCAGAGCAAATTTTTTTTTTTGAATTTATAGTATATTACATAAGCTTTATTTTAACAAATGTTTGAAGCACGGAATATTTCTGAAATATTTTCAAAAGTTAAGTTGAAAAAATTCTACTTTTTACTCGAATTTTTAGAAATGTAAAACCCCCCCCAGTATAAAGGTAAATGGTCCGACATACGTTTTTTTGTAAATCAGACCATTACCCTTTATACTGGGGGTTCAAAACTTAAAAATGCATAAAAAAAAACTTTTTCAACTTAATTTCGAAAATGTTCCGGAAATACTGACACATATATATTTAATCAAAGCTTATGTTATATACTTTAATATGAAAAACTTTAACTTTATTTTGTTTTCATGATGAAAACGGACATCAAAGTTAATTAAAAAAAAAAGCGATAGCAAAGTGGGGTCGCGGCACAGTATGGACGTGGCATAGTTGATAATGATTGGCATCAATGATAAGAAAATGATATCAAATGAAAGGAAATTACCTAAGCTTTCAATATAAAATACATTATTTTGTTTTTGTTAATATTTCAATATTTTATGGTAGTTTTAAATACATAAAACATCATAATAGGAACTGATTTTTTTTGCAAATATTACATTTTTTGTTTAATTTCGGTGGCAATTTACTCATACACGATAAGGTGTCGGGACAAATTTTTTTTTCATTTTATAGTACATGTCATAAACTTTGATTTGGTATATGTTTAAAGGACGCAGTATTTATGGAACATTTTCAAAAGTTAAATTGANTTTGGTATATGTTTAAAGGACGCAGTATTTATGGAACATTTTCAAAAGTTAGTTTTTGTAAAAAAGTTGCTATTTTAAATCCCCTCCAAGGAGCAGGTTAAGTTTTAGGTTTATAATGATATCAAATGAAAGGTAAATATCTAAGGTTTTAATATAAAAAAACTATGTTTATTTATTGATTTTTGACAAAGTTATGGAAGTTTTAAGAAAAATAAGTGAAAAAAATGACAAAATTTACCGATTTTAAAAATTGTAATTTTTTTGAAGATTTCCCCCATTTGCGGGGAACAAGGAAAAATTCTTCTATTTTTAAGGGTAATGTCTTCAACTAGGTACGATTTGTGATCTTTTGACGAATTATTGAAAAAATCGGTCCAGTGAGAACTGAGAAAAAGTAGTGACAGACACAAAAATAAAAACATCATGGTAAAATTAATACCTTAGTATTATCATTTTTACAGAGAAATTTTAAAAATTATATAGTAGTTATTACTTTTATGGCAAACGTATATAAAAGTAGAAGGTGTATAATCATTTAGTATTGTAATTTTTTAAAAAAATCATATTAGGTTTCATGCGAAACTGAGAAGTTACTAATTTGTGAAGTGTTTTTTTTTGTGTCTGTGAACGCTCAATCTTAGCTCTCACTGGTCCGATTTTGATGAAAAATATGTCAAAAGATCACAACTCATATTTAGTCGAAGACATTACCCTAAAAATTTGAAAAAAATTCCCTCGTTTCTCGTAAATAGGGGAAATCCCCCAAAACATTACAAATTTAAAAATCGCCAATTTTTAACATTTTCTCAATTTTTATTGCTTAAAATTGCCTTTTTTCAAAATAACTGAATGATTATTATTTTTTAGATACCTTAGGTATTTACCTATCATTTTATATATTTTTGTGAACATTTAACCCTTTACCAGCCCACAGGATGGGTTTCAAAATGGTAACTTTTTTAACTCAACTATTGAATATGTTCCGGAATGACTGACACTTTTATATATACCTTAAATTAAAGCTAATGTAATATACTTTAATTTGAAACAAAAAAAATTTGACCTATGAACTTGTCTTCATGGTAAAAATGAATACCGTATGCAAAAATATGCTATTTTTGTGAAAACATTCTTGATATTATATTTTATATTTANTTATTGATTTTTGACAAAGTTATGGAAGTTTTAAGAAAAATAAGTGAAAAAAATGACAAAATTTACCGATTTTAAAAATTGTATATGTAAATTGTGAAAACATTCTTGATATTATATTTTATATTTTAGCTTCGATGCGAAGATGAGAAGGTATTAATTTTACCATGATGTGTTTATTTTTTTTTGTGTGTCTGTCACTACTTTTTCTCAGCTCTCACTGGACCAATTTCTTTCAACAATATGTCAAAAGATCACAAATCGTATCTAGTTGAAGACATTACCCTTAAAAATAGAAAAATTTTTCCTCGTTCCCCGTAAATGGGGGAAATCTTCAAAAAAATTACAATTTTTAAAATCGGTAAATTTTGTCATTTTTTTCACTTTTTTTTCTTAAAACTTCCATAATTTTGTCAAAAATTAACAAATCAACATAATTTTTTTTATATTAAAACCTTTTCGCATAATGTCCACTTTAAAACTTTCCTCAGTGCTATATCATACTTTTCTCCTAATCTATAAATACCATACACAGCTTTTTCTTCTATTTCCTAAACTTTTCTATTAGTTGCCACACACAAAATAATGGCTTCATTGTTGACTTACCAGGCATAAATCCAAACTGATTTTTAGATACTCTAAGTCTCATTTTTATTCTCTTATACTTTACCCAATTTTTCATAATATGAAATATTATATGACTCATAAGCTTTTTGCATCTATAATTTCCACACTTCTGTATGTCTCTTCTGCTTTTAAATTTCGACACCACAATAACATTCCTCCATTCATATAGAATTTTTCCTTGTAATGAGATTTTACTTAAAAGTTCCTTGAACCACCTAATGGCAATACCGCCTAATATTTTCTATACTTCTACTGGCATATCATCTATTTAAATATACCAGTCTCTCATTCCACAATTTATTCTCTAATGTCTCTTTTGAATACTCCTCATTCTTCCCACTAAAACTATACCCTCCATGTACTCT